TTGGAACACACTCCACACACCAAGTTTCTTGATATTGCTTCACAGCTCACACCAAAAGCTCTCTACATTTTGTTTTTTTAACAATTTCTATTGAAATGTCTTCAAATTTAGTGTTAATATGCTTTTCTGTTAAAATTTTTGACATCTAATGGAAATTTTATTTTAGATATGTTTTTAGCTATAGAATGTGCACTTTTTAAAAAAATTGGACAGAGGGTCTTGCTACGCAGTTCAGACTCATAGTGATCCTCCTGTCTCAGCCTCCTTAGCACTGGCATTATAGGTGTGCACAACCATGCCTGGTTTCAGTAGCCAGCACAGTGTGCCTGGAGTTCTGGAACAGGTACAGCAAGTGATACCGGGGATTGAACTCAGGTCCTTGTGCTTGCCAGGCTGGTGCTTATCCAACTGAGCCATCTCCTCAGTCCTGATCTTTATGTGTTCAATTATCCTGGTGATCTTTTCCTCTGACTCCTTTAACGTTTACTTCCATTATAAAGTCCTGAACTGCCAATTACAACATCTGGGTCACTCTCAGGCCTGCCTGTACTAATGTTTTTTCTGTTGATTACAGTTATATTTTCCTTCTACCCCTTGATCCTATAATAGTTTGGGCATGGCTACATTAGAAAAGATTTACTTTACTTCAGTTCTCAGCCTTGGAAGAGCCTATGCCAACTGTTCATTAGCAGTTTCAACATGAAAGTTGGAAGTATGTATCAATCCCTCTAATACAGCAGGGTTTACACTGAACACTTGGCATAGTTTCTGAAGTCTGCTCAGTTCTTTTGCCTTCCTGATGTTGTCTTCTCCTGGGTTTCTTGGGGCAGTGTGTTGAATTTAGAACTTTGTAAAGAGAATTTGAGGCTCCATATTCTTGACACTTTTCTTTCTGAAGTTCCCCCTTGACTAACATACATTTTGGTAGTCACAGACTTTGACTTCTGTTTTTTCACTGTAGCAAGAAAGCTACTTTTTGCTCAAACTCTTCTCCCAGTGTGTCAAGGCAAACCAAGAAGTGCTCTAGGAAAAGGCTGGGCTAACCACAGAGCTCCCCTAGCTTGCGTCGCTTCCTTCAAGCTTTGTGTTCCCTACAGCTTCTACCTGCTTCCTTCTTGGTGCTCTCTATAAACAATTCTTTTAAAAATTATTTTTGCCAAGAGCTTATAATTGTTATGCGCAGAAGGAGTCATCCAATACAGATCCCTCTGCCATTAGTCTTACTGGAAGTGGAACTGGAACTTGCTGGTTTACGACTCCCACTTAAATGTGTTTTTGGCCACTTGAAGTGGCTCCATAGCTCACTCATGCCATTCATTTCTTTCCATTTTTTTCTCTGAGTTCAGAAAGTTTCTATTGCTACACAATCAAGTTCACCTATCATTCCTACAGCAATGACTATTCAGCTATTAATCCTTATCTAGTATATTCTTCAGGGCCAGGGATATAGCTCAGTATCATAAGCACTTGACCAGTATATTCTTCATTTCAGAAATGGAGGTTTAATCTCTACACATTCTATTGGGTTTTTCTAACTTTCATATCTTTATTAAATGTGTTATGTCTTCTATCTTCTTGAACACATGACCTTAAATGTCCTTGTCTAATAATTCTACCATCTGTATTGTTTGGACTATTTCAAAGGACAGTTTTACTCCTTATGATTTATATTTTCCTGCTTTGTAAGCCTGGTAATTTCTGATCAAATGCCCAACACTGAATTCTACCTTGTTGGGTGCTGAATTTTTTTTTTTTTTTTCCTTTCCCCTCAGCATATCCTTGAGCTTTGTTGTGGGATGTGGTTTAAATACTTGGAAATCATTTGATCTTTTTAGGTTTTGCTTTTAAGCTTTTCTCAGAGGATGAAAGCAGCAGTTAGTCAAGGGATAAGACTTTATTTCTTTTGGTGTTAGTGTGAATTTGGGATACTATTCCATCTAAATCTTTTGGGTGGTACTCTCTCTGAGCTCAGGTTTTCTCACACAAGTGAGTCAGTACTAAATTTACTCAGTTATGATTGCCTTCCTGTTTCTGTCTCGCTCCCCCTCCTTCTCTCATTCTCATTCCTTCTTGCCCATTCTTTTCCTCTCCCTTAGATCCTCCCTCCCGCTTACCCTCTCCCTCTCTCCCCCCACTTCATGGTTCTCTCCTAATACTGTATCCCATGAATCTCAGCAGCTTTGGTTTTCCTAGACTCCTAGCTTTATCTCTGACTTAAAGAGTTTGCAGGGCTCTGCTTCAGTTCCCTCTAAGTCGTGCCATGGAAACTTATTC